TAATTCTCTCTTGGTCTTAAGAAACAGATGCAAGATGTGCATGGACACATGCACACACAAACACACCAGTACTCCTATAAAGGGAAAGCTCTGCTCTCTGCTCTGCATGGCAGATCTCGGGCTTGAGCCCTTATTGCCCAGCGCTTTGCACAGTCATTCACATCCATGCAACATAAGCAAAAATGCTACCACGTCAGAATGGTGATGGTTTGTACCACTTTGCATAGAGGTAATGGCTGCCCAAGGCGAAGGGCAATGGGGGCTCAGAATCCATGACTGAAAGTCTGCTCTCCCTCCATGCATAGAGAGGGGCCTATCAGATCTGAGATCCCCTGTGCATAGCTGAGAAGGGGATTTTGCTATAGATGGCTTAGCATGCATGCTTTGGGGGAAAGGAGAAAAACCTCAGCAAAGCCTGTTATGTAGCTTAAACTTATCATCCATCTATCGAGAAGACTTGCTTGAGAATTCCTCCCATTCTCTGCTACAGCTCCCTCACCTGCCCAATAAAATAGCTTAGCTTCCCAGCAGCACTGCTACCCAGGACAGCGGTGACCATATTTCTTCTGTACTGAACTGCTCTTCATGGGACAACACTCCTCACAGTGAAATATCACATTCCGCAGTATTTACATCAGGAGCAAATCCATATTTTCCTTTGTTTAATTTCCTCCTACATTGATTGCTTTGGGCCTGTGCAATCAAAATGAAATCTCCCCAGATGAATGACCGGGTGGTTCAGGGGACTGACTGATAATGGGATATGGAGCCTTTCATAGCTAGGTTGCTGGGCTAAATCCAGGCCAGCTGGCAGTGACAAAACACCACGAATATCTGATGTGAATTGTATTAGCAAAGTTCAGTGTGGGGGAAATAAAGTCTTTGAACCCCTCCTGGTATACCCTAGGGACCTGTCCATGTAGATGGGGGGCCAGGGTCATTGAGGACAATTCAGCCCTTATTAAATAGCTACAGCTCCATTTTGGCCTATTGCGTTGCACATCTCTGAGTGATCCTGGTGAACTTCTGCCAATGGACAGAAAGGAAAGCTGGTCTCTCGACAGGGTGGATGCTGAGCGAGGCTCGGAGTGGCTAAGAATTGCACACATCTTAGTATGTTTGTTACCCTGTCTTCCACCAACTTGTTTCTCATCCGCCTGTGGTCTTGTCTTTGGGCTCTCTGATGGCCTGGTCGTGCCCTTGAGACACAACTGCAGTGTAAATGTTAAATTGTGTATGAAAGAACTACATTAAAGAACATTATTGAGGTGCAAAACCAAGCACTCAGAAGTTAGGAAATGCCAGAATGAAGATTGCCTCTGCAACCTTACTTCAGCCCCTGCCACCATGCATATATATTATTATACAGTCTTTAATCATCTGATCAGAGAGTATTTTTTCCAAAAGATCGCTGCCTCATGAGGTGCCCTGGGGCGTAGTTCTCCCTCAGTTGATAGTTATTCAGTATTTCTTTGTATGTTCATCATCGAACGAGTGGCCACAGGCATTATTTACCACACACCAGCCAAATACTGCACTGCGTCTGGAATTATTAATTTTCTCATGGGCTTTTCTGGGGAGCTCATTATCATATTATGTGTACTTCACAACCACTAATGAATGCATCTTCATGACACCCTCGGAGGCTGGTTGAGGTGTGATGGTATTATTCCAGCACAGAGACTACCACTTGAGCTAACAGAGTAACTGGTTGTAGTAGTAGGCTATTACCCTCTATGTCAGTGTTTCTCAAGCTTTCTGGGCTCAGGACCCAGTTGTAAATGTTTATGGCCTATCGTGACCCAGTAAATAGTCTGGGGGTGGAGGCTGTGGGGTGGTTTTAGTTGGGTCCTGCCCCCTGGGGGGGTTGGGTCCAGCCTGGCACTCACCCCCCAGAGGCACTCCTGCAGTTCCTGTGCTGTGGGGCCAGCTGGGCTTGGCTCTCAGCTCTGGCTGTTGCAACCTCAGGGGTTGCAGTTCTGCTCAGGTTGGTCCCCCCCTGCCTGGACCAAATTTGTGTGAGTGGAGCTGGGACCTCACTTGTGGGGTTCCAGTGACACTTGCAGAAATTTGGCATACCTGGACTCCTGTCATCATGATGGCTGGGCCAAACCTGAGTAATGCTGGGACCCCAGAGGTTGCAGTGCCTGGAGCAGGAAGGTGAGCCCAGCCAACGCCATGAGCTGCCACACGACCCTTTGTAACATTCATAGAATATCAGGGTTGGAAGGGACCTCAGGAGGTCATCTAGTCCAACCCCCTGCTCAAAGCAGGACCAATCCCCAACTAAATCCTCAAATCCCTAATGGCCCCCTCAAGGATTGAACTCACAACCCTGGGTTTAGCAGGCCAATGCTCAAACCACTGAGCTATCCCTCCCCCCCAGTTTTGTGTCCTGACCCACGGGCTGAGAAACCCTGCTCTCTGCAGGGCTGCCCAGAGGATTCAGGGGGCTTGGGGTCTTTGGCGGCAGGGGCACTTCGGCGGCGGGTCCCAGGGCAGACGGACCCACCGCTGCGGGTCTTCAGGACACTTCAGCGGCGGGTCCCGGGGGCGGAAGGACCCCCCGCTGCCGAATTGCAGCCGAAGACCCGGAGTGGAAGAAGCTCCAGGGGCCCGGGCCCCATGAGAGTTTTCCGGGGCCCCCAGAGCGAGTGAAGGATCCCGCTTCAGGGGCTCCGAAAAACTCTCGTGGGGGCCCCTGCAGGGCCCAGGGCCTGGGGCAAATTGCCCCACTTGCCCCCCCTCTGGGCGGCCCTGGCTTTCTGTGGAACTACCAATAGAGGAGGATGACACACACTTTGCTAGTGGATTTCACAGCTGACAGTAGAGGAATGAGGAGACTCAGGAATTCTGGGTTCAATTCCCAATTTTGTAGGGAGTGTCCTCTAGTAGTCATTACAGACCCTTCTGCCTCTGTTCTCCCCTCCTTCTGGAAAACCTGCCTTACACTGGTAGACTCACAGAGCTCAAGCAATTTAGCCTAACAGAGAAAATTAAGGGATGACTTGATCAGTCTATAAATATCTACATGGGAAACAGAAATGTGATAATAGAGGGCTCTTCCAATGCCTGGATGCTGAAGCTAGACAAACTCAGACTGAAAATAGGGTGCAATTCTTTAACGATGAGGGTTATTAACCATTGGAACAACTGACCAAGGGTCACGATGGATTCTCCATCACTGGGATTTTTAAACAAGATTGGATGTTTTTCTAAAAGATTTGCTCTAGTTCAAACAGGAATTAATTCAGGGAAGTCCTATGAATCATAGAATCATAGAATATCAGGGTTGGAAGGGACCTCAAGAGGTCATCTAGTCCAACCCCCTGCTCAAAGCAGGACCAATTCCCAACTAAATCATCCCAGCCAGGGCTTTGTCAAGTCGGGCCTTAAAAACCTCCAAGGAAGGAGACTCCACCACCACCCTAGCTAATGCATTCCAGTGCTTCACCACCCTCCTAGTGAAATAGTGTTTCCTAATATTCAACCTGGACCTCCCGCACTGCAACTTGAGACGATTGCTCCTTGTTCTGTCATCTGCCACCACTGAGAACGGCCGAGCTCCATCCTCTTTGGAACCCCACTTTAGGTAGTTGAAGGCTGCTATCAAATCCCCCCTCATTCTTCTCTTCTGGAGACTAAATAATCCTATGGCCTGTGTTATACAGGAGGTCAGTTTGCATGACCAATATAGTCCCTCCTGACTTTATAATCTATGAATCTATGCCCCCTTCTGTCCCTGTCCCCTAGCACAGTGGTTCTCAACCTGGGGTGTGTGCGCCCCTGGAAGTACGCAGAGGTCTCCCAGGGGGGACTTCAACTCATCTAGATATTTGCCTAGTTTTACAACAACAGGCTACATAAAATGCACTCGTAAAGTCAGTACCAACTAACATTTCATACAGACAATGACTTGTTTATATTGCTCTGTATACTATACACTGAAATGTAAGTACAAGATTTACATTCCAGTTGATTTATTTTATAATTATATGGTAAAAATGAGAAAGTCAGCAATTTTTCAGTAGCACCGTGCTGTGACACTTTTATATTTTTATGTCTGATTTTATAAGCAAGTAGATTTTAAGTGAGGTGAAACTTGGGGATATGCAAGACAATCAGACTCCAGAAAGGGGTACAGTAGTCTGGAAAGTTGAGAGCCATTGGCCCTAGCATGTACCCCAGCAACCTTTCTCTGCTCCTTCCCTGCTCCTGTGCTCGCCACAGGATGGCTCTGGCCTTGGCTACACTTGCGAGTTACAGCGCTGTAAAGCCGCCCCCAGCACTGTAACTCACTCCCCGTCCACACTGGCAAGGCATTTGCAGCGCTGTAGCTCCATGGTTGCAGCGCTGCATGTACTCCATCTCCCCAAGAGGAATAGCGAGTATTGCACTGCCGCTGCAGTGCTGCGGCGCCAGTGTGGCCGCCAATGCGCTGTGAATGGCCTCCAGAATTATTCGGCAGTATCCCACAATGCCTGTTCTAGCCACTCTGGTCATCAGTTCAAACTCTACTGCCCTGGCCTCAGGTAACCAACCATGTGACCGACCCTTTACATTCCCCGGGAATTTAAAAAATCCCCTTCCTGTTTGCTCAGCCTGGCGTGGCGTGGAGTGCTATCAGCGAATCTTTCCAGGTGACCATGCCTCCACGCGCCAAGGCATGGAGCAATGGCGAGTTGCTGGACCTCATCAGTGTTTGGGGCGGAGGAAGCTGTACAGTCCCAGCTGCGCTCCGGCCGTAGGAATTACGATACCTTCGGGAAGGTATCAAAGGACATGATGGAAAGGGGCCATGACCAGGACGCCCTGCAGTGCAGGATTAAAGTGAAGGAGCTGTGGAGTGCCTACCGCAAAGCCCGCGATGCAAACGGCCGCTCGGGTGCTCCCCCCGCAACCTGCCGATTCTACAAAGAGCTGGATGCGATGCTTGGGGTTAACCCCACCTCCACTTCGAGCACCACCATGGACACTTCAGAGCCGGTGTGGGGGGGGGGGAGAGGAGGAAGAGGAGGAGGAGGAAAACGGGAGTGAAGGTGGTGGGCCGGATGGAGACACCCCGGAATCCCTGGAGCCATGCAGCCAGGAGCTCTTCTCAAGCCAGGAGGAAGGTAGCCAATCGCAGCGGCCGGTACCTGGTGGAGGACAAACAAAAGAGCGGGTTCCCAGTAAGCAGTTTTTTTTTCGGGAAGGAATTTTTTCGGTGCAGGCTCTTTGGAAGAGGAGGGTTAGGCATGCATGCCTAGATGCGGAACAGTGCATTGATGTGGTTTATCACATCACGGTAATCAGCCTCGGTAATCTCCTTGAATGTCTCATCCAGAATGTGTGCAATGCGCTTGCGCATGTTTATCCGGAGAGCCACCGTGGTCCTTGTCCCAGCCAGGCTAACGTGTCCGCGCCACTGTGCCGCAAGGGGCGGGGGGACCATTGCTGCACACAGGCAAGCTGCATATGGGCCAGGGCGGAAGCCGCATTGCAGTAGAAGACCCTCCCTTGCTTCCCAGGTCACCTTCAGCAGCGAGATATCATCCAGGATGAACTCCTGTGGAAAATGTTGGGACGGTGTTCAGTGTAGGTGCCCCCTGAAGCTGTTGGCTCTCCCCAAGGCACAGAAATCCAGAGGACAGTGCAGCCCTGAAACAATCAGTCCCCCTTACTCACCATTTTGAGGCTCCCGTGGTATATGTGTGCTCTGTTTCGGACAGGAAACTTATGCTATTGTGTAGACCCTGTGTGTTTTCTACTCCTTAAGTGCGGGGGGAATCATTACTCTGTCTGGTATAAACAACGCTGCCTCTGTTAAATGTTGCATTTTGCCTATACAGCAGCATCAACCTTGAGCCTCAGCCGTCCCTCTTATCGCCTGCTCAGAGACTGCAAAGACTCAGGAAGAGACCGCGAAAAAGCAAAGAAGACATGCTGCAAGAAGTGATGCGGCAATCTATTAAAGAGAATGAGAAAACACAGAACTGGAGGGAGAGAGAAAGCAGGATCCGCCAGGAAAACGCAGCGCACCGGCAGCAAAGCACGGAGCACTGGCAGCAAAGCACGGATCGGCTCATAAGCATCCTGGAGCGCCAAGCAGACGCTATCCAGGAGCTCGTAGCCATGCAGAAAGAGGAGCAGTACCGCAAACGCAAACGCCACCTCCCCCCCACAGCCCTTGTCCCAAAACTCTTTCCGTTGTGCCCCACTGTCACCTCCAACCCACTTTCCCCAACTTCCGTGTTCTTCACGCCACCCGCTGCCTCCAACAGCAGTATCTTCACCATCCAGCCCTGAAAACCATGACCCTTACCCTCTGCACTCAACCCCCATCACCAGGCAGTATAGCTATCCTGAAGTGCAGCACTCACTGCACAGCACACCAGACAGGACATATGCGAATCTGTGATTGTACCGTTCCCCACTCCACCCCCTTATTTCTTTTCAATAAATGGATTTTTTGGCTTTGAAAACATTCTTTATTATTGCATAAAGTAAAAGACTCCTTAGCCCCGTAAATAAACAGGCACTGCAAGTCTGCTTATCTGCTTAGCAGACACTGATTCCTAAAGATTGGAACTACTGCACTTCACTCCCGTGCACGGCACCAGATATCACTGCTGGTTTTCAGCCTCAAATTGCTCCCTCAAGGCATCCCTAATCCTTGCAGCCCCACGCTGGGCCCCTGTAATAGCCCTGCTCTCTGGCTGTGCAAATTCAGCCTCCAGGTGTTGAAACTCGGAGGTCCATGCCTGAGTGAAGCTTTCACCCTTCCCTTCACAAATATTATGGAGGGCACAGCACACAGATATAACCGCGGGATGCTGTTTTCGGCCAAGTCCAGCTTCCCATACAGAGATCGCCGGTGGCCCTTTAAACGGCCAAAGGCACACTCCACAGTCATTTGGCACCAGCTCAGCCTGTAGTTGAACCATTCCTTGCTGCTGTCAAGGCTCCGTGTAGGGTTTCATGAGCCACGGCATTAACGGGTAAGCGGGATCTCCAAGGATCACAATGTGCATTTCAACTTCCCCTACTGTGATCTTCCACTCTGGGAAAAAAGTCCCGCCTGCATCTTCCTGAACAGCCAAGTGTTCCGAAAGATACGTGCGTCATGCACCTTTCCGGGCCAGCCT